GGCGTTCTTGTCCCTCATTGTCGGTCTGTTTGTTCCACGCATCACTACAGTTTTTGGGCTTGTTGGCTCCCTCTGCGGCGGCTCCATCGGCTACGTATTCCCCGCACTCATGTTCATGTACTGCGGCAACTTCAATGCCCGCTCCGTCGGATGGGGGCACTTCATTGGGGCGTATGTGTTGCTGATTGTTGGTGTTATTGCCATCGTCTTTGGGACCGCCGCCGCCATTTACTCGGAGCTGCAAAATGAATAATGCGGGCTTTAGGCACCGTCTGCCGTCTTTTTCCATTTGATGTACGTTGTGCTGCGGACTGTGGGAAGGGGGACTTATGCTGTTTCGTATGCATGATCTTTTTTTTTTTTTTTTTCCTCTTTTCTCCATTTTTGTTTTTTTTCTGCTGCTTTTATTTATTTTATTTTCAATTTTTTTATTATTTTTGTTTCTTCACGTGAATTTCATGCACGGACGGTCTTCGATGGACACCGGCTGCAGTCGGCACACACAAGAGGGCCCTGCATGATTATACTTTTCAGGGATATATTGCACCGAACAGGCACACAGACAGACAGACAAAAAAATAAAAAATAAAAATAAAAACTTGATTTTGGCTAAATTGCCGAAAAGATATGCGCACATGTACACACGACATGACTTTCACACACACACACACACACGCAAGACTGTCCCTTTTTTTTTTTTTTTTGCGTTGATTGTAGTTTTTGTTTTTTTGTTGTCTTTGTCTTTCTTTCGGTCCCTGTCGTTGACTGTCTTTCCCTGTTAAAGAGGGAAGGGAAGATTGCTGCACATATATATATGTGCATAAGAGGTGGGGAAAAAAAAAGAATATAGTTTTATATTTATTTATTTTATTTTATATATTTAGATGACAATACGTATACACATTTGTATAATTCAATAAATATATAAATATATAAATATATGTCTGTGTGTGCATGGTGCGGTGTGGTGAGGATGTTTCTTTTTATTTTATTTTGGTCCCAATCACCTGACTTTTTTTTTATTTTTATTTATTTTGTCTGTGGCTCCGACTGTCGGAGTGTTTCCTGCTTCTACCCCCTTTTTTTTTTTTCCTTTTGAGAACCTTTTGCTTCAATGATGTTTTCTTCTGTTCACTTTCATTGACACATGTGCCTCTGCAATTATTATTTTCCTTCCATCTCACCTCTCTGCGGCGTCAATATATTCTCCCTTTTTTTTTTTCCTTCTTTTTTTGTTTGCTTGCTTTTGTGCACGAAGGCGTGCTGCATCACATCTCCTTTCAGCTGCACGATACACGCATAGGATTGTAGACGCTCATAAAGGCATATTGGTGTTTGTTTGTGTGTGTGTGACGGAACCTGCCACGACCGCCTGAGAGAGAGAGAGAGGGAGAGTGAAGGATTGTGTCGTACCGCCCTCACCAGCGGTTAGGCAATCATTACACTGTATCACCCATTAATAATAATAATAATAATAATAATAGTCACATTCATTTTGAGAATATCTTTCACTTATTATTATTATTTCTTTTTTTTTGTCTCTGTGTGTGTGTGTGCGTGCGTATATCTGTATGTATATATCTTTCCATTATGTCGTTATATCTTCATGACTTGGGTCCAGAGGCGGTGTCGTATCGACATCTACTCGATGAAGTGAAGCGTCAACTTGACATTACGTACGATGAATTTGACTGCTGGCTTTATGGATTTTTGGAGAACAAAAAATATAACATCCGGGAGACGGTTGCAAAATTACAACGTCGATTTGCAATGGAAGTCAACGAATTGGCGACGTACACTCTTACGGATTACATGCAGGAGTCATTACGCTCTGGCATTGTTCAGTTTGTTGGGGAGGATAAATTGGGGCGCACGGTGCTTTACGTTATGGCCCAAAGGGACCACCCGGTTTCATCACGCCGAGAAGAAAATAAACGCACTTTTGACATGATGTTGAGCTACGGGACACGTCTTCGCGCTGACAGCAAGCGGTGCCAAATGGTGATGCTCATCAACCAAGAAAAGGCCAGCTTGTGGAGCAATGTGGACATGACATTCAGGCGA